GGCAGGATCATTACCCTTGTTAGATTGAGACGGAAGCCTGCCACTGCCGGACGTGGGGGCGTCAGTGGAGGCGGCTGCTCCACGGCCAGGCTCCGGTTGTTGGTGGCCGTGAGCACCGTATCCTTGCATTTTGTAGTCTTCCAAAATCTTTGTATTGCGGTGTACGGACTGTCTTGCACAGGCAAACCTTCTGTTTTCTGCCCTTCGGCTGCTGCTTTTTGGCGTCCATCTTTCTCTATCTAGATTTATTGACGTCAAAATCAACGAAGGATTCCATATATATATATATATATATAGAAAGTGAGACGTTGTATGGGCGTTTATGTGGATGTGACACGAGTCGTATACGTGGCATAGTTCAATAAGAGGTGTAGGCTGCAGAGTGTTTGTGGGCTGCTGTTTTGGAGTTGGATGGAATTTTGGATTGGGCTAGAAGTTAATTTAATTTTATAAGTAAGTCATAGTTATAAGATCTTAATAACTACATGAATATAAACTTTTTTATCTTTAGTGAAAAATAATTTCTTGATTAATTACTGTCTTAATCATTCCTATATGATTAGGTCTTTTTGTTATGTCCAATGCATTTTGGGGCTTTGAAACGTCCATTAATATCCACAAGTCTTTAATTTTTCGAACATCTATGTCAAGCACTACTATGTAAAACAATACCAACATTTGTGTTTTGAAAATATATAGACCTAATTTTTTCATAAATTCATATTAACAATAATTTTTCTTCTTTATTTTATAGTTGAAACCAATCTCCTTAGAGAGATAGAGAAGAAGAACGGACGTTACTATTATTACTACTAATTGATACATTGTCCACAACTCATATTGTGATTAATATCATATTAGAAAATATATCATCGGTTGATATAAAACGAACCCGGATCGTACAACCTAAAATATGGATGAAAGATATGACCTGGATTCGAGTCATATTGCCAAGAACAAGTTTGACTGGGGCACATGTAAACATGTTTTTCATAAAACATATTTCATTCATAATTAATACCGAACTAGGTGTGAGATCCATGTATTACATGGTTCATTTAAAAAAAGATTTAAATAAAAAATTCAAAATATTGAGAAGTTTAAATTTATAAGAAAAATAAGGAAAATATTGAATTATAAAAATTAAAATGTTTTTGTTGTCTCTTTTCAATTTAAACAAATCATTTAGATAAATAAATAAAGGAAATTAATGAAACTTTAATTTAATTGAAATTAGAAAGACAGTTATTAATAATAAAATTGATATGTATTTATTATTAGATTAAAATAAAATGTGGAATTTAATAAAATAGAAAAAACCATAAAATGACATGTGGAATAAAAATTAATTTAAAATAACCATAAAATTACATGTGGCAAAAAGAATAAGATATGACATGTGACAAAAAGATCTTTATTTATTATGGTAGACTGTATTTATCCTAGAATCCAACAATTCCTAAAGACCATCGAACTTAAAGGCAACCTACTAAACTTACATTGGGTCCTCCCACACCGTAAATTTATGTGTCTCTGTTAATATATTAAACACTTTCAACTCATGATCATAATGTCATTGTTTGTTGTCTAGGAAATATATATGTGGTCTATTGTTTTTCTTTTTTCTTATTCTCCAACTAGAGTATAAACTCTAATATATACACACCACAATAAATCTAATCAAAATGACCATAAAATCATTGAAAATGTTACAAAAACCGGATATAAATTCAAATAATAAATTCTGTAGATGTCACAATGTAAATAAACAAAACGCACAGTAAAAACTCTTTTTTCCCATTCATATGTGACATTTGTGTACACTACTGGATAGTACTAACCCTCTCTCCCCTTGCGTCTCGACGCAATTGACACCAACAGCCATATATTTTAAAGTAAAAAGGCGCGCACACACACACACACACACACCATTATATATAT